TTTATCTCCAATATGTGGTACACAAAGAAAACTTTTTTTTTGAATGAATAAATATAAAATCAGGTGTCTGAGCTCACATTATCCTCTTTTAAAACAAATAATGTTTTTTATATTTGTTGCTTAGATGTCTAATGAAAAAATTTGCTCTTCTTCAATTCTTTCTCACCTGATTCCTTTTTTTCCTTGAAAAAGAGAAAGAATTGAGAGGGTGGACCACAGCTTCTTCTGCCCACCTAGAAGCAACCACATACCCCTAGCAGTGGGAATAGTGCTGAGATCTGACAAGACAGCCTTTGCTCAGGGTTGGTGATCTTGGGACCTGGGCCAATGAGATACAGGACAAGAGGGTATCACTGGAAAAGCTTAATGAAGGGCAGTGGGGAGCCTACTTATCTTTATGTATTTGAGCAAGAAGGGTTTGGCTGCTCACCTTGCTATTTAATATTTACCACATGCCTTTGTGATAATCAGCATCTGTAAAGTTTAATCAGAATATGAACTGGGGTGCATTGCCTTTTAATCTCCACTACTCTTTCTCCTCTGAGTTGTGGATAGAGATGTTTCAGTTTACTGGCCAGTGGAATATAAACGCATCCTTTTCCAGGAAAGGACTCTGTGTAAGCTTCAAGGGTTTATTAAATTAGTGTGTGGGATATAATTTCATCCAAGTAATAAAAAAGCTGCTTTTAAAGAAATGAAGTTGTATTACACATGATATTCACTCTTCATCCCTACCAGGGCAGGTGCTCTGTTTCAGAGAAGCCCAGTTCCTGGACTGCCTTCCTCAGGAAGGGAAATCAGCAAGGAGACAAATGAGCCTTCCTGGCTTTCATACTGTACATGTTGGCTCTTCACTAGCAGAGGTTGGAAGTCATGGATTTCATTACTGCAGTGCATTAAGGGCCAAGGGGAAAAAAATCCAATTTGCTACTGCCTCAGTGACTTTGTGTTTTAATCAAATGGATAAGAAAGAATCATTAACTGATGCTTAGACTGATTACAATTCCAGTGAGAAGGAAAGGAAATGAGATTGTGGCACAGCCTGGGGAGGCCACCACTCCTGGGAAGTCCTGAGCCTACAAAGTTCCACACTGTTGATCATTACCAAGTGGCTTACTGGACACCCATGGCAGTTGTGGACAACTGGGGTGGGAGGGCTGGTCACCACCCCTGCACTCAGGGGCCCTGACCATAGAGGAAGGTGCTGCCCCTTCTTGGAATGATCTGGTGAGCAAATTATATAGATCTCCTTCATGCACTGATAAAATAATTTCCTTTTCCCTGCTCCCTGGAATCTTGATTTAAAATCATGAGAACTTTTGAAGATGTGGCCACAGTAGTGATTACCAATGTATTACAGGGTCATTGGAGGCATGGAAGGAAGCTGCAAATTTGAAAGCAATGAAGTGCTCCTCAAATTTAGAGTGCCTTTTTTGTTATTATTATTATTTTCATGTCTATCATTACTTTGATTACTTCCACTGCTACCATAAAGTTTAAGATGGCACAAACTTTTCTATCTGGCTTGTCTGCTTGAAAGGCAGAAATCAGAGGGGCAGTTGGTGAAAGGGAACCTTTCCTCTGGCAGAATTTCTCTTCCTGATTTATGTGCAGCTCTCTCTGGGTGCAGCCCAGGGACGCAGGAGAATTCATTCACAGGAGATGAAATCCTGAGCAATTGCACGGACACATCCATGCAGAGGTGAGGCAGACCTTATGCCCTAGAGCAAGCTGGTAGCCCTGTGTCATTCACTGACGCCTTCCCTCCTCAGCCCTTTGGTAGTGAGTGACTACCATGTGTCAGACACTGGTCTTCCTGATTCTCACATTTCACATCTGACAAGAGGGCACAAAGAGGAGCACCTACTCCTTAGTATATAAGAACTCCCAATGGTGGTACCCAGAGGGTGGTACACTGGGGGACCTATGCAGGTAGGGAAGTGGGACAGACCCATGAAGACTTAGGAGACAGTCTTTAGGGAGTAAGCTGGAAGTACAGGACTACAATAAAGATTTGGTGCTGTTTGCAGAGAACATGGACAATTTTTAAAAAGTAAAATAGAAACAAAGGATATACAATGGCCAGGCAAAATGCACATAGACCCAGATGTCAAAATCAGTGGGAAAATAAAAAAAGAGACATACAGGTGGTAGTGTCCCACAGACTCGCTTCAGCTGAGTAAAGGGTTGGGCTTGGAAGAAAGCATGGAGGTCCCTCAAAAAATTAAAAATAGAATTACCACATGATCCAGCTATTCTACTTCTGGGAACATATCTAAAGGAAATGAAACAATTATCCTGAGAAGATACCTGTGCCTCCATTGTCATAGTAGCATGATTCACTATAGCCAAGACAGGAACATCCTAAATGTCCACTGTTGGATGGATGGACACAGAGAAAGGGTATAGAGAATCACAATGGATACTATTCAGCCTTAAAGAAGGAAATACTGTCACTTGCAGTGCAGATGGACCTTGAGGGCATTATGCTGGGTAAGACAAGACAGACAGAGAAAGACAAATACTGTATGATCTTTTTTACATGTGGAACTGCAAACCAAGGAGGAATCGTTGACCCAAGGTTTGGCCACCAGAATAATATCTTGCTGCCAGCATCAACTGCACTAAACCCTAGAGATGCTGTTCAGTGGATGTGGCCTTGGACATTTCAACACATGGACCAGTGATGGCTGGCTCTCCTGGCACCTTGCAGACAAGGCCTGGAAGCTGACCTCCTGTGTATTCTTGGAGTAACAGCAGAGTGGTCTCTGAAAATCATGGTAGTGTATCCTAAACAGCTGGAAGGCAGGAGCATCATACTGGGGAGTTTTGTTTTATCATTATGGCCACTGCATGCACCTCCAGTAGCACTATACATAGACCCCTCAGTAACCTCCACAGGGAGAGGGGTAAAGGTATGGTATACTAGGCCTGGGTGGGACCACTGTCCTGCCATGGTCCTTAAGGTTAATCTCCTCTAATATCTTTGTGGATTGGGCACACACCCCAGCAGAAACTGCTACTTGCTGGGGTGCATGGAGCTCCCTATTGGTACTACTACTGGCTTTCCATAGAAAGTGTGAATCATGAACTGGGACTGGTTTGAATACAGCTGGAATGCCTGCTTGGTAGCAGTTGATCTCCTTGGGCTTGAGGATGACTATTATTATCATAATTTTTGTTCTTACAAGGTTCCAGCTTTCTCACCCAGGGACCACTGCAGAAGATTGATTTCTCCTGTAGAAAGTGTGAGCTATGAACTCATCTGAGTAGAACTGGTTTGAATACAGCTGAAACGACCACTTAGCAGCAATTAATCTCAGGCCTGAGGATTATTGTAATATTTTTACCTGTATTATAATTTTTATCTGTATGCTGTTGTAATCCTCTGTTGCTGTTGTGGAATCTGGTTATAGTGCTCCAGCTTTCTCACACAGGGATCATCGCAGAAGTTTGAGGGTGTATAGATTGTGGGGCAAGAATCCTGGAGGGGTGGAGTGTGGGGAAAACGGAAGCTCCTATGGCCAGGATCCTCACCTGACCCTAAACTGCTTGATGATGTAATTGACCTACTGCTAGGCTACTGCCTGTAGGCAATAAGCTATTACTGACTGAGTCACTATATAAAGAGCTCTACCCGGTGCTCTGGGCAGAGGCAGAGATGGAGGTGGATTACACACCTGCAGGCTGGTGGATGCAGATGTGATTCTAGTGCTCAGCCTATTGCTGGGAGAATAAAGCTGGGTATAAACCCTTTTACCCCAAGAATGTTCTGTTATCATTTCTCAGTCTCACCCAATCCACAGTGAACTTGCCCCAGGCTGAAACCATCAGGCAAGACAGATACCATCTTGGAAGTTTGTGAATCTCTCCCAAAACCTTCCCTATTGTCCTGGAATCTGCCATCCATCCTTCTTAGCTTGGAGTCTTCAGCTTAAGCCCAAGTTAAGGGTTGCTGAGAGGACAAGCACGTGGAAAGGGAAAGCCGTTCAGTCAGAAGGGGAATTCTATCATAGTCTCGGACCAGCCACAGGGTATCTGTGCCCTCCAGGTTGAACAAGGCTTGCGCTGGGGAACACCAGTTCGTCTCTTGGCAGATGCCCACTATGCAAGGAGGGCAGACATGCAGGCCCGTGACCATAACGTGCTGAGGACCTGTGGAATTGCTAAAATGTGGTTCTTCTTAAGTAATGTTTCTTATACAGATAGTTCAAAGTCATGGTAAAACTTTCTAACAGTAATAATTGAAAATGGCAAGCCCTCATATTGTGCCTACTGTGTGCCAGGCATTGTTTTACATGCTTCATGTATATTACCTCATGGGATCTTCACGGTGTCCCAGTAAACAGGGCTCGTGCTCATGTCTATGGGGCCAGAGGACCCTGACATGCCCAAGGCCACACAGTGCCTTCCAGTACCAGGTGCACTAAGACAGCCACACAGCAGGTAGAGGGGCTTTCCTATTGGAGCCCCAGTTTCCTCAGCAACAACCTGTTTAAATAGTGACTCAAACAAGATTATTGTGTGTTTGTACAAGTGTTTATGCACCATACACAGAGTTTGTGCAACCTGTACTTACACACTTAACAATATCCCTGGGATACTTGGTCATGCCAGGACAAAGGGCACTTGCACCCTTTTCAAAAGCCATATAATTGTCCATTGTATGGATGTACCAAACTTATAGAATTATTGTGCATTTGGGTTTTTTCCAGTTGGTGTTTTTCCTTTTCTAAACAATACTAATTATCTATTTCTTTGTGAACCTTGAAAATGTTTCCAAAACATCCTGGAGGTAGAATGACTAGGTCAAAAGGCATATGGTCTTAATAGCTTAATAGATATGGCCAAGTCATCCCTTACACAACTTTCAAGAATTTATACTGCTCCTTGTTTTCTTGTTTCTCCATTATCTGGATGACAAGGTGTGTTTTATTAAATGAAAATATCATGGAGTTATTTTTCTCCATTTTTTTTTCATAATTTCAGGCTTTTACACCAATCTCAGATGAAGAAAACTCCTGGGTTTGTAGCTTCTGAAGAATGCAGTGATCTGTGCATGTGATCTCTCCAGATCTGTTTTTTATTGGGACACTGAAAGGCTGTGAATTCAGTGATTTGCTAGAAACCCTTTCCTGAAGGGTGAAGTTGAGGAGTTTTGCTCGACCTTTGGGAGCCCTCCTGTGTCTTGAACACTCTTCCACAATAGCGTCTCCAGAATGGTGGGCTTCCTGAAGGAAGACACGCAGCGAGGAGCCTCCATCCTCCTGGTGGTAAGTGGGCCGTGGGCACTTTCCTCTCCTGAGGCCTTTCCTGCCCCCAGAAACATCCCCCAGCCGTAATTGCACCAGGAAGCCCAGATTCCTTCTCTGAAGCCTGAGGGCAGAACTGCAGCAGCTGCTTCAAGAGGAATCGCCCTGCCCTGGCCCACGCAGCCCCGTGGGCATACAGTTGGCCTGTCTTTCTCTTGGTTTCTCCTGGTATTCAGCCCCCAGGAAACCTCCTAGGATCACACAGCTGCGAGGGTCCGCTGTGCTGAGAGTGGCATTATATGTAGAAGTAGGCTCATACTGGCAGAGCCGGCCAGCTAGTGAGTGGGTTTGTTTAAGTTACAGTGGAAACTGGCACAGAAGGCCCTGAGTGCGGGTGGTTTGAAGTGGAGGTCAGCACACATACGTCAGCAGACGGTGACATCCAGAGCTGATGGAACCAAGTGGCTTAACTGGGCCAGGCCTGGCATCCTTTTACAGTTCTCACCCCTGGGAGGAAGGCTTTCATGGGCATGGCCAGCCTCTCTCCAGGCCTCTTTGCCACCTGCCTCCTGACCTGTACACTGGGCTCCAGCAGGCCCCGGCCTGGGTGCGGCTGCTCTTCAAGGTGGGCCAGCTCTCTTCTCTGCTCCTTACAGACCCTGCAGCCCTCAAGGGGGGCCTTCATGGGCCTTTCCAGTTCCTAGTTACCAGGGATTCCCCAAGTTCAGATGAAGATCTCCTGGTGAGTGCGAAGCGGCCCTGGGGGGCGGGGGTCACAGAGGAAGTACGTAGGTATGTATGATGAGATGCCCCGCTGATGTGCTGTTTGGGAGCATGTTGGTCACTCACCGACAGATTCCTTTCTTAGGATGACATCGTAACGACTCAAAGAACACCTTGCAGCACCATGTGGAAACAGCTGAGTGCTGGTAGCACATCCCGGATGCCCTCAGGTATCAGCGAGCTGACAGGCACGACGCGTTCGGAGGAGGACCAGGTGGTTTAATGGACGAGGCGAAGGCCTCGTGGGAGGCAGCAGGGCCTTCTGCCCAGTCCTGGCTGAGGCTGGGTGAGGGGTCAGGGAGGGCATGCAGAGTGGCGGTTAGGGGGAGCCGTGTGGCAGGGACTAGCCTGGAGAAAGCCGAGTGTGTGTTGGGGCTTCTCAAACATTCTTGAAGGTTTACTTTCCGTGTGTAAAAACCCATATTAATTTCTTCTTTGATATTCTGCCATTCAGTAAAGTGATGTGACTTTAAGGGGAGACATTTCTACCCTCACTGGATGCTTCCATAAAGCTAGTTTCATTTTCAATTAAAACAAGAAGTGGTTCACTCCTTGTTTTAATTTTCCTCCTTCTGTATCATCTACTGTGCAAAGCAGGTTTGCTTGCCGTGCTCTACGGGACGGACCGCTCTTCACCATCACCTGGAACAACTCTGGACGGCGACCTCAGCTGCCTTCACGGGCCTCCTTATGTGAATTACAAGTATCTGCTAGGTTATTTCACAACTGTAGCACCTGCCATCCGTACCAGAAAGGAAACGGTGCTCCGCTTTCTCAGGGATGTGTTAACAGGGCCAGGCACCACTCTGCTTTTGTTGTTGTTTGATTTATTTTAGTGTTTGTGTGTTTGTCTTTAAATCATTTGCACCAGCTCTGTAAACAATTTAATGAGTACATACCTTTTCTTATGAAATTCTTTTCAACTTAGCAAAGAATTATTTTCCCCTTCAGCCACCATTCCCAACCCCTCCTCCCCCAACTTATGAAACATTTGGTTTTGTTTCGTTTTTTTGCTAATGTGTTTTGCTATGTATTTTCATCTCTATTTCTGTCTCACCATATATCTAGCTCTATTTATATCTGTATATATTACATATATAAAGTTACTTCTTTACATCACTGAACTCCAAGCTGCCGACCTTAGATTATACAGTGTCTACATGCAGTGGGCTGAACTGTGTGCCCCACCATTTATTTCATTTGTCAAAGCCCTACTGCCCCATGTCACTGTGTTTGGACATAGAGATCTTGGGAGGTAATTAAGTTTAAATAGGTGGCTTTCTAACTGGTAGGATTGGTGGTCTTATAAAGAGAGGAGTAGAAAGAGCTCTCTCTCTCTGTCTGTCTCTCCATGTGCACACACTAGGAAAGGCCACTTGAGGACACAGCAAAGAGGTGGCTGTCTTTAAGCCCAGTACAGAGCCCTCACCACACCCCACCATGCTGGCACCCTAGTCTCAGACTTAGAGCCTCCAGATCTGTAAGAAATAATTTTCTATTGTTTCAGCCATCAAGCCTGTGGTATTTGCTGTGGCTACCTGGGCTGACTAATACACCATTCATGGTGAAATTATTCAACATTCTTTCAACAAATAAGGACTCTATACACTTGGGGGGAAGTCATTTATTTCCACAATTAGATGCTGGAGGCAACGATAATACTGAAATACAGTTACTGAACTTTCTATTTTCTTTTCTTTAGTACAGATTAGTTTGACCTTTTGCTATCTCAGGCTCACAAATTGCTCAAAATCACAAGGTCTGCAACGAAGCTGTGACAATAATTCAAAAGATTTGTTTTCTTACGCTGGCTCTATCCATCTGATTACATTGTAACCAATATTTGCTTCTGTCCCTGGGGACAAAAACTGTTTTATAAACTACAAAGAAATTGCACAGCCATGGAAGAAATACGCTTGTCAAATGGACCATGTTTTCTCCCCTGCATAACAAAAAACCCGTAAAACACTCTGTTATGCTAAAAACAACACCAAGAAAAACAAAGAAAAGAAAGGGAGGCAGTTTCTTCCTGGCACTGAGGAAATACTGGAGACTGTGAGCTTTCAGACAGTGTGGCAGCCTCCCTTGTAGAGGGCTTATTCTAACTGGGGCATGAGGGTGTAATGACATTTCCCTCACTTGGGACACTTTTCAAGGACGTATCAATGAATAAAATCAACTGCATCAGCAAAGGCATGGACATGAATCAACTCAAATCGATCCCTTCTGAAGGCAGAAAACTTGGCAATCACCAGATAGCAATGATCTGGGTGAGGGTCACTCTCCGGGTGGGCTGCTCACCTTGGGTGTGGGCCACCTCTCTACGTGGAACAGACAGATGTGTGTGCTCATGTGGGTTGTCTTTCTGTGGGATGAAGTAAAAGGGAAGTATGAATTACTCTGGAAGTTTTTAGAAGCAATTGATTTGCTGTGCGACTGTAATCATCTGGCAAAGTGGCCACCCCTGGGGCACTTGGCAGCAGTGTGCAGGTGACCACGAAATGCCCCCATTGCCTGGAGTGCACTTCTGTGTCTGGATGAACAGGTGGCACCAGCACATTGCCTCCCAAACGTGTCTCCTGTCTGTGCTCCTGACTCCTTGCACACCCGTCCTGCTCTCTGCTGTCCTGGTAAATCTCACTCCAGATCAGAGCCACCACCTGTCATAGGTGGCCCTGTGGGCTCCAAGTAACTAAAGGAAGACATAAGCTATCTTTAGAATGTTTTATTTTTGTCTACTGGGACTCCATAGTTGCTGAGAGAGTTGTCATCTCTGATTTGGCTCAAAAAAGAGCATTCTAAATAAAGAAAACACTTTCCACTGCTGCCACAAGCCGCAGTTCCCACCTTGCTTCCATTCCCTCCCAGTGCCATAATGACTCACATGGGGTGACCCTGGGTCCCGGAAACACGAGGAGAGATGGTGAGGACCAGCTTGCTCCTTGGATCCCCTCTCTTGACCACGAGGTGCTCGCTCTGGTGTGTCTGGGCACTTGCCATCCTCGGCTCACATGCACAGAGCTTCCCCAGGTCACCAGGCATTTCAGCATAGGTGGACTTGGTGTCCATCTCATGTCCAGCATCAACTGGCCAGAAAAAGTCCTTGCTTGGATAAATTACATTTAGGGGTAAACTGAAGCTAAGATATTCTTGGGAAAAAAAATGCAGGTTATCCATTAAATAGAAAATGAAACAGAGGAGTCTTGGAGGAAAACAGGCATGGGAACAGCTTTAACCAGACACACTCACATGGCCTTACCGGAGTCTGGACAGATCATGGAATTTCAGCTGAGGTGCAGTCACCCAGCCTGGCCCTCTACACCTTTGTCTTGGTGGCCGCATGCTGTGGACGGTGCCGAGGCACCAAGTGTGAGGTGCGCAGGAGCTGCGTGAGGTGCTCTGCAGAGAACACTTGCTCGGACGTCTTGTCGGTCGGTGGGCAGAGAGCTACAGGCGCAAGAGGCTCATTTTTCCGTGTGGGCATAGCCTCTGTCTCATGGATCCACTCTCCTCCTGCCCCTAGAGAGCCTGGAGGGTTGCTGCCCCCCTGTCAGGAGGTATTGTGGAGTGTGGCACAGAATCCTGAGCGTGGTGAGGATGGAGACAGACATGGCCACAGCAAGCATTTGCCCTCTTGCTGAGGAGTGAGGGTGTCCACCACCCCACAACTAACTACAGACAACTTTGAGACCTTTCTGGTAAAACAGAAAATCAAAATAGCTTTTGAATGCAGGCAGGGCTTTCCTTTCCTCCAAAGTTACTTCTTTAAGGCAGAAAATTATTTTGTTAGCATCTTAGGAGGAAGAAGAAGTGGCTAGATGAAAGCCACTCTGTACAAACAAGAGAATTTATAGCAATAATGCAACTGCTTTATTCGTTTTGTGAATAGGGGAGGAATAAATCACTAGAGTGTAAATTTAGAAGAGTGGCACCTCAGGTGTGACTTCACTGCCACAGAATCTGCCATGCACTGGTCTCAGAGAGCGTCTGCCTGAGGGCAGCGGACCACCGGCAGGGCGGCAGGGCTCCCTGCTCAGGTTGAGTGTCAATGCAGAAGTGCTAGCTTCACCTTTCCCCAGGCTCCACCAAGTTCCTCCGTGTGGGTCACAGTTGAATGCAAAGGGAACTCGTGGGCCTGGCTTGAGCTCTGCAGACCTGCCAAGTGAGTCCAACGCAGCAGTCGCCCTTTAATTTAAGGAAGTGGCTGCCTGGGTCGCTGAGGTCTGGGCGAACCTGTAATGCCTTTTGCTGCCGTCTCCATCACTCAGATGGTGCTAAGCCACTTTTCATGCCATTTTATCAAGCATAATCCTTTCCCGGGGGTTCAATCAGCCAAAGTGCTCTGGGTGGTTTCATTATTTCAGACTGAGCTGTCCACTCACCTCTCTGTTTCTTTATGAGATTTCCTTGTTATTTTTAACTGCACAGTAGGTCAGTTCTTTGGAAATAGCAGGCAAGGGAAGCGGCAGGGGGAGGGAGAGACTGGTAATGTACCATCTCTCAGTAGAAGAAAAGCCACTTCTCACTGGTTAAATGCAGACATTCACCTGCAGACCCAGCGGGTGAGTAGGTATCTAACCCCAGGAGCAGGATACTACCTGGAAGGTTCACCTGATCCACTTTGTCCTCCTAATTCCCTTTCAGCTGTAATTTCTCTACCATTAGCCTGGATGCCGTGGCCAAGTCTCACTGCTGCAGGAGCAGAGGACAGTCAGGCCCGTTGCCTTGGGCTCCGAAGCAGCCTTCAGAGCTCCAGCTTTAGGCAAGACGTGCTGAGGAAAGGAAAACGCTTCATGTGTTTATTCCTTCGTTGTATTTTGGTGTTTGAGTACAGGATCTTGGCCTTCAGTATTAGGTTCCAAGTCCAGGAGACTCAGAGCATAAAGGCTGCACTGTTAAGGGTGGTGGGCAGGGAGGCACCCACTAATGGCTCCCCCTCACAGGGGGGTGGCAGGGGCCCCCAGGGCAAGGATCTGAGGGGGCAGCACGAGGGAGCTGGGCCTGGGCTGGAGAGGCACCAAAAACCCTGCAGGGAGTGGAAGGGGACCCTCACTTATGTCTAAGCAGAGATGGGTGACATCACCCCTAGTCCTTCTAGAGACCTTACGCTGGCACAAAGGAGCATCTGAAGGCTCACCAATGACATCTTCCACCCACGGAGAGGCACAGGTGCTGAGGAGAATGGCATATTGGGAATGGGGGCCTCACAGCCGGAGGCCATGGGTGCCCCATAAGGGAGCACCTGAGGATGGGGGCAGCGGAGGCCGAAGGAGCATGGTGGGTGCTCCCGCCCTCCATGCAGAAGGCACACGTGGGAGCAGGCACCTTCTATGGACCGGCTGGGACACAATACAGCCCCTGTTCCTCCTCCTGGGCACCATCCGGCTCTCTCAGAAGTTCCCCTGTGCCCCGGTGTACCTCACACAGGAAGGAGGGTGATGTGGGTGCAATGGGGTGTGCGTGGGCTCTGAACACAGTGTAAGTGTAAAGGGAGCACATGACGGAGCTAGACATGTCTCTTCTCCAGCTTCCAAGTTCATGGCCACAGATTTTAAACCTAGCATGTCACTAATTGCCACAACTACCTTATATGCCATTGGACAAGATTTCCAATGAACAAGAGGACCCTCCAGCTGGGTGTGGCAGGTAATTCACAATTTGTTTTGATTTATGATATGTTTTGCACAAAGTGCACTTAATGTGAACATCATTGGGGCCTGGAAAAGAAAACGTGCAGAGGAAAGTTATCAGAAACCAGTTTTAGTTGCATCCAGTTCTCAGTATTTGTAAAACACTAACTGAACTCTAAGGATCATACTACACAAGGCGGTAGCCACATGTCTAGTACCAAGGGAGGATGGTTTGGGCAGAGAGGAGTGGGGATGCCCGTGAGTCCCCAGGGAAGCACCCCTGCAGGGCTGGAAGGCGCCCTTGCTGCCTCAGGGCCCCAGGGACCACAGGCCCTGTCCTCTGCAACCCCCTGCACGCCTGTCCCGCCTCCCTGGGCCCCGGGGAGCTGTCCACATGCTGGAGATAGCTGTTGAACGCTCCCCACAGCTGCTGGCTGAGCCGGCTGAGTCCTGAGGTTCCCTCTGGGCTCCCTTGATCTTCATAACTGACTCAATCCTCCCGTCCCGCCTCCTCCGGCTGGCACGGCACCGTCTGGTGTCAGAGCACTGGCACCGTCTACACTCTTCCTTAGCAGGCTGAATGCTGGTTCTGAGAACAGCACTGGCTCAGGGCTTGGAAACAAATCACCTCGTCCGAACACCAAATCACAGCTCAGAAGGTTGCTTAGTGAGCATAAAATCGGAGCAGAGAGGCGGCTGTTCTGAAGGAATATGCCCGCTGTGCTGAGGAGGCAAGACACAGCAGCCTTTTCCATGCCAGGCTATTTCCAGAAAGAGACCTGAAGGGGATGCCTAAAATGGGGACATCCATCCCTGTGACAGGGCTGGCGGAGCAGGAGTGGGCACGGCCCTCCCCCTGCCTTCGGTTAAAGCTTCCCTGTCGCTGGTGGAGGGCACCCAGTGCCCTGCGGGCTGGAGGCCACACCTCACCTTTCATTAGTTTCCGCTGCATCCCTAGCTTCCTGACGAGACCCCCACCTCACCAGGCATGTTCTTACAGACCTTACCACCAGTGGATTGCTTCTGAGAAGCCCTTTGCTGATGAGTGAATCTGACCTCCAGTGCCAGGTCCTGGGTGTCCCTATGGAGGGTGACACCAGCTGACCCACATTCACAGCCTGATGGGGACTGGTCATCTCCTTTCAGGACTGCAGTCGCCCCACAACCCCTCCTGCCCAGCCTGACCCCCTGCTGTCAGCTCCCAGGTGAGCTTGGCTTCACCAGGGATGTGGTCTCTGTCTTCTGACCTGGAAAACCCTCTGACACTGACCCTCCCAGCACCCCCTCATCCATAGTGCTCAGCTGTGATCATTTCACCCACCTTTGGGGTTTTGTTTGATTAACCTAGGGCTGTCGTAACAAAGTACGAACTGGCAGGCTTAGAACAACAGAAATGTGTCCTCTCAGAGTTGTGGAGGCCACAAGTCTGAGATGAAGGGATCCGTAGGGCCGTGCTCCCTCTGACGTCCCTGGGGAAGGACCTGACCCCCACCCCTCTCCTGCTTCCAGCAGCCTCAGAGCTTTTTGGCTTATAGACACCCCACCCCACCTACCCCCTCAGACAGCTTTTCCCCATGTGTTCTCTGTGTGCACGTCTGTCATGGTGTCCAAATTCCCCCTATCTATAAGGACAACAGTTATATTGAATTAGGGACCAAATCTAATGGTTTCATTTTAGCTTCATTACACTGTAAACACCCTATTTCCAAATAAGTTCACATCTGAGGCACTGGAGTTAAAATGTTAACATGAATTTTTAGGGGACACAAGTGTGTCATCTCCATAGAGGCAGAAAAATTTTAGGGCAGCCACTGAGCCTACCTGTCTGGCACAGAGGGAGTGGCTGACAGCTATTACTGAATGCGTGAATGAGTGCGTGGGTGAAAGCTGCTTATCTAAGGTCAGCCCACCTCCCCCTCTGCCCCCATGCACGTGCGCCAAAATTGAAAATAACAACTGCTCACTGGCATCCGGAGATGACCTTAGCCACCCGAGGACCAGGCAGATCATCCATCTGTCCTGCCTTTCTGTTTTGGCCCAATGTTTGGGAATCTGAGCGTGGGAAAACACAGTGAATTTGCTCTTCTCTTCCCTCCCCTGGGATTCATGAACATTACAGAAAGGCCGAGCAATGGGATGAGTTTGGTCT